CTTCCTATTTTGTCTGCCCAGAAGAACACCTACAGTATGTCAGTGGGACTCCACCAGAAAGACTCTTTCGTACTACAGTATGTTACGTCTCCAAGTCACCTGAATGATGTGAAAAGGGGAAAACAGACCAGACACTCTGAGACATTATTAGGTCGGGGTCATGATGGGAAAAAAAAGTCACCATTTCCCCATCATTCCTTGTATTGCACGTTGCACTAAAGGACACAGATCTCGCTGCTTCTGCTGGTGAAAATTGTTTGACTTCTGTTTGGAATAACAGTGGGCAAGGTTGCTCATTTTGTCCTTCAGTCCTCCCTCCACATCCTCTTGGCAAAGGCAGTTTAGGCATCGTCTTTACCCCTGCTGCGAATCTTACTGTGGAATAATGACGAAGATATGGAAAAGTCTTCTGCTCCCTTTGCATCCCTGACAGTTGTAATTTGCGACTCTTTACTTTTGCGGAGATCCTCAGTGTCACAGTAAGTGGGGTGCAGTTCGCCCATCTGACAGCTCCGAAGCCCCTCCAGGCGTTGGTGCTTGTTGTCCTTGACTCCTCTTGCCTGCGCATCAGTAGTTAGTGTGCGGTCTGGGAAGATACTGTGTGCAGACACTCTAGAAGCTCCGGATGCCCATGTTTAAGTGAACAGACATAACAATTAATACCGTACATCTTTCCCCCCAAAACACAGAACTTTTAAAATGGTGTGAAGTGTTCTCAAGGTTTAAAGGCAACTACGAAGGTTTGACAGCTTTAACCTAAATTGTTCTATTAACACGGTGATTCAAACCCGTTAACTCTCCAACAGGTTGAGACTCTTAACTGTCTGCAGCATGTTTGCCACCTGATGGAAGCATGCATGGCAGCTCCTGCAGAGTGATGAACTAACACGCCTGCTTAATTAAATACAGTATATTCAGAAAATGTGGACCTCGGGTTTCAAGGTCATCTCACATTTGTACTCAAAGAGCTGATCAGGAAGACAAGAAAACTCTTGGGTTTGAATATTTATACTGAAATAGTTTGAATCAAGTTTGAATATTAAAACCATTTCATATACAGTAGAAAAGATCACTAATTATCACATTATCCTGAGTAATTCTCCATCCCTTAAACTAGATTGAAACCTGAGAGACCGCTTGAGGGCTTTTTCCCATTACACTTTACACAAAAGAGAATGTTTTATTAACTCCTGCACTTCTAAATAATGTCAGAAAGAACCTAGCCTTTGCACCAAATAATTCAAAGAGCAAAGGTTTTCCCCGTGCAGAAGGAGAAATAACCATCCACCTCAGGCAGCGGGCTCTGAGGGACTCAGCTCATCCCTGAGGTGAGGCTGCTGGTAGCTGTTTTGACTCAACGTGTGACTTCAAGGGCAAGTGTAGATGCCGTGGGGTTTTTTTCTTCCCCTAAGTCCCCCACCCCCAGCTGCACGCCAGACTTGAAGACGAAACTGTGTTTTGAACCCGTGAGCTCATGCATACATGTGCTGCACATGCGTTTCTCCACACTGTCATGTCAGTGCCCTGGAACTGCGCCGAGAGAATTGCCACTTCTTCCAGAGCCAATACCTGCGTTTGGCTTGGCTCGCATTCATAGATCCTGCGTCTAAAGTGGGTATGAAATTTCACACTGAAACCCTCTCCCACCTTTGCATATGTGTTTCTTGTTCATCTGCTGGATTAACCCTGATAAGTTGAGGTTTTTGCGGTTCTTGGTCAATAAAAGCAGTGGAATGTAATGAGGTTAGGAAGCCTGGGGCAGCTTGTCAAATGCTGATGCTGAAGTATAAACAGGAAACGTCTTTTGTATCTACGTTGTATTTCCTTTCAGAGCTCTGGATGCCCAGCTGTGAATCTGAAGATCACACTTCAGGGTTGGATTTTTCTCTTGTTTTTTTTTTAAATAACTCACTGGTTCAGAGGGTGGCTTGAGTCAGAATGTGTTTTTTTGTAAGTACTATCTTTGAATGATCTACGGTATAAACTGTTTCCTTTTTTCTACTATGCATTTGTGCTCTTTAAGGACAAGTCTTGGCATCGGTGTTACATACTGTGTCGGTTCTTTGGTTTCTCACTCTATTTTGAACTGTGGATTACTATGCAGGGCTATTAACTTGGGGTGCATCTACACAGACTATCTCAATTGGCTGCAGGGAAACTTCAGCCAATGTTGAACAAGCTGTGGAGAACAGAACGTTTTTAATTACTCTCCAGGAATCAATATTTGTTTTGCTTGGGTAGGTCCTGCCGCATAGATTACCTAATGCAAAATAAAACAAGAATACTGTCCTAACATTAAAACCTTAGTGTTACACAGGAAAATAATTCAAGAGGGTGAAGCTGTTGTATTATTTTGTCCACCCTAAGCTCATACTGTTCCATAATGCTGCTATCGTTGAAGCCATACTGTACGTTTGTAAAAGAGCTTTGACACTTAAAGAATATACTGTGCCCTGATGTAATTGCGTGAGATCTTGGCTATTACAGGATTGCAATCAATTGCATTCAGGAAGGGTTTAAAAATATATTTGAGTCCTGAATCGTGGGAAATGAATGTTCTGTTGTCAGTCCAGTCAGTCCCAGGCAGAGTTGTTCTTGGGAGCTAGCCCGGGCTGCTGTGTTATAACCAATAGTTATTTTAATAGTTCATGATTTCCCCTTGCTGAACACAGTGAGGTCTATTAGTTCCATGTGAACTCTTTATGTTTTTTAAGTTTCCAGATATTAAAAGGTGTGGGGGCTGTTTTAATCAGATACAGGGGTTGAGTTGGGTTAGACAGCCTGAGAGTCATTTGTAATCTGTTTTTCCAAAACCCAACCACAGACTTTGTCCACAAATTTCAGTGCTCTAAAGTGCATCTAACGTGCACATTGAGATGTTTTGTTCGTATAGATCTCGAAACATTGGATACATACTGTAAGATTAGTGTTGCCTTTGCTTCTAAAACGCATTTTAAATCTAACCAGATAAAAGTACAGAAAGGAATATGAACACCAATTATACTGGTACTTGGTGTTTAAGATACAAAGATAAAACACCAAAAGGGATGACAATGTACAGGAAGCAAGGTTTCTATGTGAAAGTCATCTGTTCTTGATCACTATCATTGCAAGAGTTCAGGGAATCAGTGAGTACAGTACTTGCACAGACCAAGTTTGGCAACAAAACACTTCCCATTAATATCCAGCCAAAATCTTAGTATTACACAGGAATATAATTCAAGAGAGTGAACCCGCTGTATTATTCTGTCCACAGACTAATCAACATTTACAGTATAAGGGTTCAGGATGAGGATTTCACTCCCAGCTTTGTTTTCCGGTTTCCTGGGATTTTCAGAATGGGATGAAAAGTGCTTCCTCTTGCTTTTCCAATTTTATCCAGTTGCTTCATTTTATTGTTGCCGTTCTGGGACAATTGCCCAGGAGTTGCTGTGTCGGGTTCTGTGAGGCAGTGGTGTCATGCATCAGGAACCTAACGTCTCAGGTGTAAAGTTTAAGTTCAACAAATGCAGAGTAATCAAATTGTGATACCAACATTGTACATTGCTCAAATTTCCAAGTATTCACTTTGAAAGGCCATTGGTTAGCTTCCTGATTTTTACGCAAGCTTTTAATGTGCTGGATGTTGATTCAGATTTCTTTGTGGCTGTCTAGAAATGTAAGGAGCCGCAAAAAGCTTATCTTTGTGACGCTGATTCCAGTAAATAGACAGTAAGATTCCAAAATATTCCACTGCCAAATCTCTCTGTGGGAGCATTGTGCAGCAGTGGGGGCTCAGGAATGTTGTATCACACTGATTTCATTTAAGCCTTTAATCAGGTAGTTCCCCCTCCTGTTTTCTATCATCTAAAACACCTGCACAAAGTAAAACTGAACTTTGACATTTTTAATTTCGCAGTTTGTATTAAAAAATAACTTGGGACCCAAAACGTACATTGACACAGAGCTGTGAGTATTAAAGATTATAAAACCACCCCCTGAGAGTTGTCAGGGGATCTTGGCTCTGCCAAGACTGTGAAATGAAAAGTGATTAATGAGGCACACAGTGAATCAGTGATTTAAGCCAAGGCTGACCCACGCTTGTTGTGGTTGATTCTAATAGTAAAACAATTTTCTGACAGGAAACATTGTGTGTCATAGACTGTAACAGGAAAGCATAAAAATAATGTAAGAAATCCGTGCTATTATAATACCAAAATAAGTTAGGCAATCATGGATGAGTTGATAATTTCTTGAAAAAGTAGTTTAAAAAAAACTTTCAGGCAGAATGAGGATGATCTCCTGTCTGCATCTGTTTCTTTAAAACCTTTAGTCGCTGCCAGAATTTGCAGTAGCTACCTCAGCAATTTAAAAAAAAAACAGAGAAGAGGTGATTTCGGAGCTGTGTTCCAACCAATCACTGTGTTCACAGTGATCTTTTCAGGGTCTGTGGCCATAAACAGAAGCCATTTGCAGTCAGTATCTCCAGTTGGTCAGCAACAACTAGTACTGTATACAGACGATGATGGTGTCTTGTGATATATTAGTACCAAGTATAGCACGATGTCCTCTGGGTTGCACCAGCACACTGCCTGCTAGCAGAATATGTTGCACATCGTTCGTGAGTACATAAACGGAGGACATCCTGATCCTTTCCTGGCACACAAATATTAACAAAAGTAAATATTTACCTTCCTGCGTATTGTATGTACTGCAGCCTCCCTGTGGGGCTCCCACATGTCTACGTTTAGCTTCGCTCATCTCTGGCATCTCTTCTGAGTAAAGTTAGCTTTTCATTGTTACTCATTGTTACATTTTTGTCAAGAACAACACGTCCAATCTTCTTAGTAATTTCTATATATTTTTCCATAATGAGTTATTGCATTATGGTTTTTTCAGTATTCAAAAAAACCCTGATTGCAGCTAGTGCAAGCTAATCACTCAGTCCTACCTTTCACTAATAATAAATAATAATACATAATTACTTACTGTATAACACATGTTAATAAAAATAGCTTACATCACAATTGAGTGTATGAAATATGTTGCACCTCACAACATCTGTACACAGTGCCATTTCTGTACATACCCACTAAAGACAGCGACACAGAATAAAATAAAACCTAAACAAAACTTCGGAATCAAGCGTTCAAAATCCTCAAAGTTTTTGACAAAATCAAGCCCGTGGACTTCTTCAGAACGCACCAGTGGAAACTTCGAGGAAGTGTATTTAAAACTGAGAACAGGAAGCTCTTCGTGGCCCAGATCGTTGTGGGAGTGGAACAAGCTGCCCAGCCGTGTGGTTGAAGCCGATACCCTGGCATCTTTCAATGAGAGACCATGGGGTCAACTGGCTACTAAAGACCAAGTAGGCTATTAGGGCCAACGGGCATAATTCCCATTTGTAACTGTTATTATGTTGTTATCCTTGTAGAGTACAATCCTTTGTCTTTTGTAAAAACACAAATGGCGTTTCTGCCCGATGATACCTGGTTCATACTTACAGGCATATATGGATTGTACAGTATGTGAGCACGCATATTATCACCCCAAGACTGAAAACATTAAATAAGAAGGCATCAATACAATATCAATATTTGCAAAAACAGTAACAAGTAGACTGACCTGACCAAGAAAGGGCTTAAATAAATGTGTTGGTCTCAGAGCTGCCTGAATGCAAGATAAATTATGTGGTTGTATATGGGAGTGAACAGCGAACCCAAGAAGCAGCTTTTTTTTTGGCTTTGTGGCTATTGAATACATTCATACAGGCAAACACACTCACTCCTCTTGACTTGTGGTGAACTAATCTGATGTTAGAGGTTGATAAGTCTTGCAAGAGGTTTTGTGAGACTTGTATTAACATAATGCATTTTAACAGACTTAAGTTGGGAGCGGCATCAACCTTCATGGGCTGCAAGGAAGGGGTAGGAAGGTTCATCCAATGCTGAAGCAAGGGGAAAGTAACACAGCATTTCCTCTGTAGAGCCTCCTTCAAGTGTGGAGGAGAGAGGGAAAGTGCACAGAAATAAGGCATAGGAGAACAAAACAGGAAGCGAGAATGGGCGGGGAGCAGAAGAGATTGGGTGTGTAGCAGGTGAGAATGAGTGTCCAAACTAAGGGGGAATTGGAAGAGGGTATGAAAGGGCTAAATCTGGAAATGAATGGAGAGGATTTAGAAGGAGATTAGTCTGTCGTTGAGAGGAAGGGGAAGATGTGATCCAAGTTTAAGGACGGTTGTGGTTTTGGATGTCCTTCTGCAATAGGAGTCCCGAAACCCCTGTAAGACCCGGAGATATCAGAAAGATGGTGGCCATTAGAGGAGAAATGGGGACCTATGGGTTTGGAGAGAACTTGGATCCTCGCAGCCCTGACATGTTCCCTGAAACGGTCTGCTAGTCTCCTTCCTGTCTCACCAATGTGAGTGGCCAGGCATTTTCTGCATGAGGTGCAGAAACATGAGGTCGCTGGAAATACACGATGTCCTCTGGGTGACACAGAACTGTCCAGAGGGGCCTTGAATGCTTGTTTTATCGGATATATACCGTCCTTACAGGTGATGCCGTGGGGGGAAAGTGCCTGGTGGGGATGATTGCTGAGGGCGGTCAGGGGATCTGTGAGCAAGACGGTTGTGCAGATTAAGTGGTCAGCGATATGAGATGATGGGGAGGTCAGGAAACTGTGTGTTTGGCCGGCATGTGCTTGAGGGCTGCAAGAATAATTGTGGGGAATGAAGGAAGCCCTTTGACCAGTGGTTTCTTATCGTTTTTGAGAAAGGCTGATATGTGAGTGAAGGGACGGCTGCATACTGAGACGACAGGGTGTCTTGGGGTGTTGGATTTGTAGATTTTTCGGAAGGAGGTCAAATTAAGATACCTGAGGATGTTCAACGATGAGAAGCTTAAATTCCTTATTGCTGAGGAGAAGAGAGATGGTGGATACCACTTCCTATTGGTAGTTAGTAGTAGAATCCTGTGGAAGAGGACTATAGGGGGTTCGTTAGTAATAAATGTTAGGAAGTTGTCTGGAGGCTTCGTTGATATATAGGTCTTTTTCCTACACCACAACAGCACCACCGTTGTCCGCTGGTTTGATGACAATATTGTCTCTGCTGCAGAGAGATTGGAGCACCTGAACTTGTCCTAGGGTGAGGACAGACCTGTTTCCTGGGTATGGAAGGGGCCTCAGGAGCTTGATTGATGAATTTGGTTGATGAAATAATCCACTGATGGAAAATGGCTGGAAGGGGGGAGAGGCCAATGGCTTTGTTTGGGATAAATTTTGCCAGTGGCATCGATAACCGGGTTATTGTCAGCTATGAGTGAAGAGGTGTCATCAGAGAACTGTGCCTGAGGTTAATCCTGCGCTAAAAGTGGTTAAGAGACTCTTTAAAAACTTAAAATAAAAACTCAAAAATGTTTTGGTGTTTTTTTCCATCTGATCTTGAGATTGATTAATTCAGCCCTTAACTGAACTAATAATAGAGCTTGGTTACAGTTTTAAGTTCATGCCTAAAAATACGCAGATTTCAGGGAAACTTATAGATTTAAATAGTTGACTGGAAATCTGTAACAATTCAATTCACACGAGAATATTGAAAGGCTTTAAAGACAGCGTTCCAACAAACAACCCAGAGATGACACTTCCAGCCTACTTTTTTAATAACTGTGATTAAGGTGTTGAGCTGAAACCTGATATCTGAAGTGGCCTCGTTCTTTTTGTCACTGGTAAATGCTACGCATTTCCATACTTCTTATTTTAGTCTTTGGCTTGAAGCCGAAGTGGGAGAGAGGCGTGCAGTCGCAGTCTTGCAGTGGAGGCCTCTCTCTCTCGGGGGTATCTGTGATTTACTGTACATGCGAGAGACTGTCCCTGGACTTTGCTCAGCCCTGCGGGGGAGTCCTGCCAGCTCAGTGTGTCAGAGCTCCGTGAGGCCGGGGTGGCAGCGTTCCTTGCAGTGGCTCGTTCCCGATCGGATTTTCTTGGGTAACTCCGTGACCCCATTCGGGAGCAGCTGGCCGGCAGTCACCTCGGACAGGAGCGTGAACGTTGATACTTCTTCTGAGATCGAACAAGACACATGAGGCTTTTTATAGCCCTCGGGAGCTCGGAAGGTACAGTGGATATTGTTTCTTAGCTCTGTGCTCTAGAGCTGTGGCAGGTTTTTTTCTTGGTGTTGTGATGGCAGGAACTGGCTGATGAGAGATGGAAAGACCTCAGTGTGTCGCACGCTGACATGGTGTACCCCAGGCCAGACGCACCCCACTGGAGCCGTCTTCTGCATTTCAACCAGGGAACGGCAAAGCTTCCGATGAACAGAGCAGCATGTTCCGATGTATTCCTCATTCTTTCACAGAGGACTTCCTGGACGTAAACTGAGAATTACACCTTAAATTGAATGGAATTGAATTAGCCTTAATTTTCCAAAGAGAATTTGTCTTGCACGTCAACAGCTCATGAACATATAGTATAACATATACAACACAAGAACATGACGAATATACCGTAACAAAATATTCAGATGTATTCCTTATTCTTTTTCAGAGAGCTTTGTGGACATAAAATACAAATTAAATACGGATCAAATTGAATGGAATAGAATTGAATTGACCTTTCATTGCCAAAGAGAACTTGTTCTGCACATCAGCAGCTCATAAACATGTATTGTAACATATACAGCCATAATACAACACAACACAACATCAGTACAACACCATAATACAAAACAACATTCAACAACATCGCTCAATCGTTACTATATCATTAAAAAAAATATGTATACTGTATATTGTGTATGTGAACGCAATAACAGTGGAGCCCAGAAATCACGTGTCGGAGCTGTAGTGAAAAAAGTCTGCTCAACTAACTTCCATCAACTAAGGTTATCCAGTTATTAATTTACTTACTGACTGATTCTTTTTTTCCATTTAATCTGGCAGAAATTATAATAATTCTAATAAGAGTTTTGGTAGTTAATTAGTAAATCATACAGTAGGTAGTTTTCTTAAACTGTTCTTCCCGGGGATGAATACAGTATTGAGAACTGAATTGGATTCTTGTTGATTGTGGGATATGTGCGTGTAAACCCTACTTACTGTATGTCGATGTTTTCTGGTGTGCTGATTAATACAGGGTGGAATCCAATTGTCCTGGGCAGTTTACTCCCCGAACAACAAAGCCCAGTTCACACCGATATCCCAGTCGTGAGCTGTTTCAGAGACCACTCACAACATCTTCTGAAGAGAAGATTCACTCAGCATGCTCACTCTGCCATCTTATCCCTTTTGCACGGATAGAGCTGCTGTCTCTACAGTAGGCTGTAGCTGTCTGTGCCAAAGGGATAAGATGGCATTGCCTCTTCGTACTATTTACAGCTCCCCTTTGGAAACGGCCTTTTTTATGACAGTTGTTCACCACAGTCACACTGTCTGTGAGAGATCCACCCACAAACTGCAAAAGCATCTAGTGTCGCGCCATTCAAGTATTCCTCTCATTCAGAGCTAGGCAGAGCGAACATCTGCCCTTCTGGCTCCTCTGATCTGCTGTCCCACTCAGTCCGGCTCTGTTGTAATTCTCCTGTATTGTTGGCAGGTTCAGTTATGGGTCTTCTGTTGCTGTTCGCCCTGCTTGCCTCATGCTTGTATGTCCACCCTTTCATAAGTGAAGGTAGGTACAAAATGCCTTTTTATTCTGAATTCCAGATTCCAATGCACCTCCACTGCTTGTTCAGTATCATGGTGCTCCTCTGCAAGTCACTAGCTGACCCCAACTAGAACTTTTGTGACCAGCTGTTTATTTTCTAAAGTCTGATTTTTTTAAAAAATCGACAGTAAATAAAACAAGCATTCCTTCATGTGGTCAGATTCCAAAGACACAAGCATGCTACATCAAATGTCCAGGTAATATCGCTTTAGTCCGTTAACCATCAATGGTTATGCTGACAGCACTGTTGTTGTTGTTGTTGTTGTTGCTGTTGTTTGTTTTGTCTGAGTAAATGGAATAACGTTATAGCTGGGGCTGCTGCCTGTGGGATCAGTCATGTAACTCCACTGTCCCCTGAGGACGAGAGTCCTGCAATCTACTGTAAATATTACACTCCCAGCTGTATGCTTGCTGACTCACTCCAGCTGTATTTCTCTCTGCACAGAGAACTGCACTGATTATTTCGTGGACTTTGAGAGGTACTACAGCTTGAAGGAAGAGCCTGTGATGCTGAAATGTTCCTTACAGCATCTGGCCAATGGCCACAACACTACGTATACTATCTCATGGTATAAAAATGAGACCCGGCAGGAGTTCTCTGGGGAGGGGGGCAGAATCCGAGCACAGGGAATTCGACTCTGGTTTCTGCCTTCTGTTCTAGCAGACACAGGCCACTACGTGTGCATTCTCAGGTAAACTTGTGTTTACAATACCTTCTATATGTGAATACAGAGCAGTGCTATATACATGCATCATTTCATAATAATAATAAAACATATACTGTATTGTACACTTAGGGCTGGAGGTGAGGGGGTTGTAATGCTTGAGATTCTACATTACAGTTAACGGGGATTTGCAAACTGGCAAGACTTTTCCTGTTCAAAGCCACTCATTGTGATAGATGTCTTTCTAGTGCTGCCTCTTCTTGCCCTCTTGTGGTATTGAAATGATGTGCATCTTGCCTGGCTGGACATTACCTGTACAGTTAGTGTGTATCTGTCCTAATCAATAACGTATCTGTTTGTTTTCTCAGAACCCCTGAATGGTGCAAAAAACAAGCTACATTTCTGATAGTAAATGAAACAAAGAAAGGTGACTGCAATAATATCGCCAAGTCTGGGCAGAAGCTCTCTGCATTAGCAAACGGGGTTCTTAGCTGTCCTGAAACAAATATCTTTATGAACGAAGAGACAGACTATGAGTTTTTGTGGTATAAGGTAAGTGCTCTGCTTAATCTTGCTTTACAGGTTTGTAATGAATGAGAAAGTCAAAGAAACACCCATTAAAGGGAAATCCTGAAATTACACAAGGTTACAATTTTACATCACTTTTGGAATATAGAGAAATTGAGTGGTGCTTGCAGGTTACAACACACCTTGATAAACTGTTGAACAGCTTAAAGGCTACATTGCATTAAATGTAATACATTTTCATTAGCATTAATAATCCAGAATGAAAGCGCAAGAGTGTATTCAAGTATATTAATAATAATTCCTTTCACTTATATAGCGCTTTTCTGGACACTCCACTCAAAGCGCTTTACAGGTAAAGGGGATCCCCTCCACCACCACCCATCACACAGTGTGTAGCCCAGAGTGCGCCAGTATACTCCCCACACACCAGCTCTCAGTGGGGAAGAGAACAGAGTGATGAAGCCAGATCAGAGATAGATGTGATTGGTAAAGGCCAATGGGAACTTTTGGCAAGGATGCCAAACAGTAACACCCCTACTCTTTTCGAGAAACGGCCTGGTATTCTTAATGACCACACAGAGTCAGGATCTCAGTTTTACATTTCATCCGAAGGATGGTGTCTTTTTACAGTACGGTGCCCCCTTCACTATACTGGGGCATTAGGACCCACACAGACCGCAGGGTGAGCGCCCCCGTCTGGTCCCTCTAACACCTCTTCCAGCAGCAATCTTAGATTTCCTAGGAGTCTCTTATCCAGGTGCTGACCAGGCTCACACTGCTGAGCTCCAGTGGGCGGCCAGCGGGGAGCTGGGAGCTGCAGGGTGATGGAGCTGCTGGCTATATTGTGCTTGTGTCCAGGACTGCCAACTCTTATCCTTCACATTCCTTCATGTTCATGCTGTGATGCCTGGGTGGGGGATCCTGTGGCAGATGTATTGTCGACCCTATCTAGGCACAGCTCAGAGTCTGGGAAACACCAACACAAACAACCAGGAGAAAAACATGACAGCCAAACTCTGGAGCAAGCGAGGCTCAGGACCACACAGGGTGGGAGCAGGGACTGAGGGGAGAAGCTGGTTTAAACGGCAGTCTTGAGGAACAACGGGATGATAACCACTGTAGCGGTGTGGTACCGAGGGTCACAGGAAACTGCTGCTGCAAGAGAGATCGCAGCTCAGACAGCCGTTTGCTGGTGCCAGGAAATCAGCCAGCAGAGATACTTGCCCAGCGAAGCAACTGGCCGAGCTCCCAGGACGTCCTATCACGGCCTCAAGCCTGAGTGATGCCACTATCTGACTGGGACCAGGAAACCTTGCGGGGAAAGGAGAAAAAAAAAAGAGAATCAGACAAAAGTTGATAAGATCACAGATCCTAGCAATGAAATACCGTATAATGCCATTCTTCCGGGCGGACAACACTCATGCTTTCAAAAACCAATGCATCGAGAAGACAGTCCTCTTAAAAACTAAAGAGAAAAGGAGGAGGAGAGTTTCTTTGGGTTTACTCTACCTGAGATGGTGAGAATAGGCCTTTAAGATGCAGACATCTCCCCTGCTATGTTTTGTCAAAGTACTCTGGCACAAGAGAATGCTCCCAGATTCTTATCAGAAGGGTCCAAGAACACAAATATAACCTTTGTAGCTGTAACCAGAATAACATTTGTTCAAGGCGGGTCTTCGTTTCATTCTATTGTCTCCTGTGAAGGAATCTTATGCAAGTTTGACACATTCTGAAAGTCTTGTGAAAGTGTTAACTTTCCGGGTTTATTTCCTGTGCCTGTCTGTTTTGAAGAGAAAGTATTATCCTTAAGGGGGCAATTAATTAATATCTTCATCCTTTAATGTTGCGCTGGGGAGCAACCAAGTTTTACGAAACACAGCATTATGAAGAGTGCTACTGAGGTTTCTTAAGTTATACATTTTAAGACAAAAACATGCTCATACGTGTTAAGATGCTGATGTTATTTTGTAACAGTGTGAGGCTTCGGACTGCCTTGTCACAGGCTAGAGGATCGATATCTAGAGAGGAGGTAGAGGTGTGTAGTCGCTCAAAACTTATGGTTCTTTACCGAGGTGAGCTAGCACGAGCAATAAGGCTTGAGAGAAAAACTGAGAAAAAAAATATTTTTTTAGAGATGAAAGTGCACCACAGCTGTGGAGTCAATGGCGTGGGTCTAAGGAATGGGAGTCGCGTGAGAATGCAATAGAGGGGCTCTTAATTAGAAACTCAGGTGGTGCTGATGAGAGACATCCTCACGCGACAGTTTAGAGGGCCGCCTCGGGGGTGTTAGGCGCCCCCTCGTGGTGAACGGGGGAAGATTCCTTCCACTGTCACAGGTGGAACAGTGTGTACACATCTCTGGCTGTGATTCCCCCCACTGTAGAAACTCTACAGAGCGGTGTGAAGCCTGTAGAAAATCTACAGAACATTGTAGACTATAGAAACCCTACATACTGTAAAAGTGCTGTCAAAACCTCACAGGGAAGTGGACAGACTGTAGGAACATTGTAGACAAACAGCCCTGAGTCTTCTGGTACCAATCTCAAACAAGTCACTGAGACAGCATAACCTTTCTTTCCCTTGCAGGATTGTGTACACCTCGTGGAAGGAGACAAATACACGTACGACAGCAATAAGCTTTTCATACAAAACGTCTCTTCAGCAGACAAAGGCAACTACACCTGCCGAATAACATTTAGCTTGAATGGGACGACATACACAGCATCAAGAACTATAGACCCCGATATCATCGGTAAGCATGCTGGTATTTAACACATTTTAAAACATAGCGTAGATCATATCTCCTTTCTCTGAGGCTTCTAGATCTGCCATTTAATCTCTGCCTTATTTATTTACAGAGGAGTGGCATTTGCGACCGAAAGTGACTTATCCTATAAATAACACGGTTGGAGTTGCTGTGGGTAAGTATTGTGTAGTATTTTGTAAGCCTGAACTCCTGTCCACCATCGCGGACAGTTCTTACTGTGCATCGTTCATCAACAGGATCGATATAACAATGAAGGTGCTGGCTGAAGCAGCACCCGGTGCTGCCGTAATGAAACTGCGCATATGACATTACTCAGTCTACTGAAGAAAGGCCAGATGTTACAAAAAACCCTTAAATAAAATGTTATAACTGTTACAAGTTATACATTGGGGCTCCCCCCATATCATTTTGAAATGAGGGCACTTTTCTGATCCATAACAACGTCAGACGCAAGTGTGACTTGGTTCTGCATGGGACTACTCGAGTGATATTCAAAACCGAAAAGAGATTAAACCTGCTGACAAATACGGGGAACCTAATTGCACAAGAGCTGCTACAAAAGAAGGTGTTATTGGGGGGGTGGGAAGTACAATGTGATCACTTTGGTGTGTTATCTTCTTTTATCGCTGCATGTGCAAAAACGCGTTCGCCGCGGTCTTGCAGGGTCCGCCTTCAGCACGAACTGCACGGTGTTCCTGGGAGGAAAGGGGAAACACACCGCCGACGTGCTGTGGATAGACGACCAAAGTCTGATTCCCGAAGACAGCTCGGCTCGCGTCTTTCAAGGGCGGCAGAAGTGTGTACCGTCTGTTTCTGAAAAGATCTGACGAGAGTTGAGTGGCGGCTTTTCATTCAGTGTTCCCGCGGACCGGTGAATGTTAACACGCAACGACAACAACAAAAGAGACATGGCACTTGATTCATACACCTTGTGCCTCTTTCAAATAATAATAATAATAATAATTGCTTACACTTATATAGCGCTTTTCTGGACACTCCACTCAAAGCGCTTTACAGGTCATGGGGATCCCCTCCACCACCACCAGTGTGCAGCATCCACACCTTGTAAAGCCCGTACTATTCGTGCGCTTCAGAGCTGAACTCTGTAATTTTCTGCTACCTGGTGCTGAAATGAGATCGATCTTTCACATCAGCGCCGCAGGAGCGTCCGAGGTGGCCCGTTTGAGGAGGCGACCGCAAGTCTAAAAGTAGTAAAAACAAAAGGTCACGAACTGCGTCAGACAACACATGCCTTAAAGCAGCACCCTCCCTGGTCTTTAAACGCACAGTTGACTCGCGAGTACGCGCTAAAATGAGCGATACAAACCATATACTGTACACTACGGCTCGTCGCCGTTTTGTGTTAGACGCTAACACGAGCGTGTAGTGTGTTCTTCCGTTTTTATTTTCGCTCCTCTCGGCTTCTGTTGTCTGAGCTGTCTTTACAGGAATTGAAGGGGTATTTTACTAGCCATGGAGCAGAATTATATAACTATATTATATGCAATATATTATATATATATATAGCATGCATAATTTGTCAAAAATAATGTTGTTTCACAAATATTTACTTAATACAGTGGGATGGTTTGTTGAGATTGCTACGAATGCACACTGTGTCCACCAGACAGCTAGGCGGTTTCTTTACAGTTTTTTTTTTTGGGGGGGGTATTCTGTTTTTGAGTGCACAGTACTTTTAAGTGACCTAATAATCGTATAGTTGAGAATTTCAATTGGCTCCTGTCGTATGTGAGGTTTTTGTGTACTAAGGGGATCGTGGAGACCTTAATTCTCTAGTTGATGCTTCGTAATGCATTTAAACACAACAGCATGCATAAAAAAAACAAGTATTGGTCAATTCGACCTGTTGAAAACATATACTTTGCCATTATGGATGGCAGACCATTGAAAAACATCAGAAAAGTACCGAAACCCAACTTGTTTGCTTCCAGTTAGGAATGCTTGAGATTAAACTGAGACTTTGATGTTTCGGTGGTAGTTTAGTGTCGCTTTTACACTGAATGATTCTTACGAAACGGAAATGTTGGAACCAGCCACGTTCGTACAGAGAGGGATGAGTGCATTCAAGTTTCACTACGAACTTTTTTTGGGGGTTCTTCGAACCGGAGAGGTGACCTGAACTCCGTCTCTGCGGTTTTTGCAGTGAAACGCAGGTGAAGGGCGGCGCCCTCATCCAGACCCCCCTGATGTT